ATGGACCCTCCCTGGTCTGATCCAGCAGGGCTCTTCTGAGGTTCTTCTCAGGGGAAGGCCTCGGCCTCCGTGCCCTGTTGTTGGCCCTCCAGAGGAGCTGGTTGGCCCCTGTGTGAGATGGGAGCTGGACTAGATGGACCCTCCCTGGTCTACCCCTGCCCCCGGAGGGCTCCAGAGCCCCTCTCCGAGCAGCCACACACACACGGACACACACACACACAGACCCTCTGCCCCTTACCACATCGTAGTGCCCGTGCTGTGCTGCCAGGTGCAGGGGGATCTGCCCCTCGTCCGACTGGATGTTGACGGAGGAGCCCGCCTTGAGCACCAGCTTCATCGGCTCCTTCTTCCCCTGCCAGGCCGCGTAGTGCAACGGGCGCATCCCTGCCGGAGGAAGACCGTGCTCAGCGCCACCCCGAAAACCCTTTTCTGCCTGTGGGCCGGGGAGAGACCCCGCCGTGGGTCACAGATGTCCCCCCCCGCCCTCCCCTCTCCCGGCTTGCCTTTGTTGTCCTTGATGTCCACGGCCGCCTGGGCCTCCAGCAGCAGCGAGATGAGTTCCGTGTTGCCGTTGAGGGCGGCATGGTGCAGGGCAGAGAACCTACAGAGGGACGGAGGGCAGAGCTGGAGCATCGGCGGGAGAGAAGGACGGCCGGGGGATGCCTTGGGGCAGCTGCACGCACCAGCGTTTATTCCCTCCCCAAAGCTGCGACTCAAAGCGCATCGTTCTGCCCTCCAGTTCGGTGTCGTGGTTAACAGCGGCGGACTCTAATCTGGGAGAACTGGGTTTGATTCCCCACTCCTCCCCGTGCAGCTGCTGGGTGACCTTGGGTCAGTGACAAGTTCTCTCGGAGCTGTGTTCTCTCAAGGGCAGTCGTCGGGAGAGCTCTCGCAGCCCCACCTACCTCACGGGGTGTCTGTTGTGGGGAGGGGAAGGGAAAGGAGATTGTAGGCCGCTCTGAGACTCCTTTGGGTAGTGAAGGGTGGGGCATCAAACCAATATCTTCGTCTTTCTCTCCTCTGTTTTCTCACAACAGCCAAGCTGAGAGTCTGTGATGGGCTCGTGGTCAACCAGTGAGCTTCCATGGCAGAAGTGTGGGATTCAAACTCAGGCCACCCAGGGTCTTAAGTCCACCACTCTATCCACTCCAGCATCCTGGCTCTCCATAGCCCCAAAACCAACCCATTTGAATTCAAAGCACCATGAACTGGAAAGGGGCTTATGCTAACATCGGGCCCACATGACGACACGCTAGTTTCAGTGCATGCAACGAGTTCTTTTTTATGGGAGACGGAGCGTTGAGAAGCAGGATGCTCTCCAGTGACAGGGGAAATGCAGCATTTGTATGCACGAGACGGGCCTCCTGAAAGAATCACACCCACCCACCAACGCTCCCTCTAAGCTCTGGAGTCTTGTGAGCAAAAATTCTACTTTGTGAGCGACTGGCATTAAAGTCGAGAGCCGGCGATTTGGCTGCTGCATAGTTTCCTCTGGAGCCCTCCTTCCTGAGCTAAGAAAAACAATGTGTGAGCCGGAGGCTAAAAAACGGCAAGCTAAATCACACTCACTCAGCTTAGAGGCAACACTGCCACCCACCCCACCTCTCCCCGCACAGACCGCCTCTCCAAACATTTCCATAAAAGCCAAGAACCCAGCTCCAGAGGCAGACCAGAGTTTCTCTGAATGGCTGAGGAATGCCCAGATTTAGAACAGGAGCCAGGCGGTCCGTGGGAGCCGCTCCACAGCCTTCCGAGAAAACGTGGGACCTCCAGGGAAAGCTGCCCAGAAGAACTCCGTTCTTGCATTCCTGGGGAATTTCGGAGGGGGGAGGTGAGCGCAGATTAGGAGGGGGAAACACCAGAAATATTTCCACTGGAGGGGGGGGGGGAACCAGAAGGAATTTTTTTTTAAGGAAAAAAAGGAAGATTACACACACATCCAAAACTATTGCTGTAGTAAGGGTCTGAAGAAGCAGAATTTTGTTAAAAAGGTAAATTGAAGCCTGTACGTCACCTCCACTAAGGGGCCTACCCGATCACTGGGTTCTGGGTTCAAGATTCAGGCCAATTCCCGATTTGACCTCCCCCTGGCCTTGTCCACCTCCTCCTGCAATATATGAAGGCCTCTGCCCCAAGCACACACACCCCTGCCATGTTTTATTTATTTACTATTTCACGATCTATTTATTAAGTTCAAATTTTAGGCCGCCCTCCCCTGCAAAACAGGCCTCGGGGCAGCGTGGAACAATGAAAGAATCCAAAGAGTTTTACAAAGGTTCAGAATTTAAAACAACACACTTAACCACTACACCAAACATCATGGCAGCCTGAGCCGATCTGGTGGCAATAACTCCTGGAAATGTTGTTATACCTCGTAGAGGATGGAAGCAGGAAAAGGAGATTTTATATAGGGTTGCCAGATCCTATCAGAGGGTGGGGGTGGTCATGTTGCCATCTCCAGGTGGGAAACTCCTGGAGATTTGGGGGTGGATCCTGGGGAGGGCAGGGACCTCAGTGGGGTACGAGGCCAAAGAGACCCACCCTCCAAAGCCTCCATTTTCTCCAGGGGGACGGATCTCTGTCGTCTGGAGATGAGCTGTGATTCCAGGGGATCTCCAGGTCCCACCTGGAGGATGGCATCCTATTTTTATCCCTCCCCCTTAGCCCGCCGTAGCCGCGTTCCCTTTGCCGCCGCCGCCCCCC